CGAAAAAAAATCATGTCAGAATGAACCGAAAAGTGTCAATTTTTTTGTGACACGTGGCAAGGAGGCAGTCCTCGTAGAAACTATAAAAAAATATTCTTAGACTAAAGAAAGTATCACATGGGAGCCTTTCGAAGAAATGGGTCCGGATAACGGAAAAGTACCGATATTTTCGCTAAGAATTTCTACGAGTCAATATCTAATTATACAGAAATTTCCTTAAATTCACTTCTGTCCCTTCCACTCTGCAAAAACCATACTTCTGCCTCTGAAAGCAGAAAAGTGGTCTCTGGGGAAGGACAGACCCATGAGCTTCATCCGGCACGGCATTTTCACCGAAACTTTAGGCTCTCAAACTGCAAGAACCACAAAACTCAAAAACCACATATCTGGCCCTAAAAGCAGAAAGACAGGGAGCTTGGTCTCGATGGAAGAAAGAATTATGGCCTCAGGCAGCAAGAAATTTTCGCCAGAAGTTTTTGGGTGTCAATTATTATACAGAACTTGCTTGAAATTTACTTCTGGCCCTTTTGGTCTCGAGGAGAAAACACTAATAAGCTCAGCCAGCAAGATACTCTCGCTGAAACTTTCTGGGTGTCAATGTTTATTCATACTGAAACTTGCTTCAAAAATTTACTTCTGGCCCTTCTACTTTGCAAAAAAACCATACTTCTGCCTCTAAAAGTAAAAAAATCACAAAGTGCTCTCGAGGGAAGGACAGACCCATGAGCTTCATCCGACAGGACAGTCTCGCTAAGACGTTTGACCCCCTAGACTCGCAAAAACCAGTACTTTTGCCCCTAAACGCAGAAAAGCACAGAAAATCCAGTCTCGGGGGAAGAAAGAATCATGGCTTCAGGCAACAAGGTATTCTCGCCAGAAGTTTATGGGTGTCAATAATCATACAGAAACTTGCTTAAAATTTACTTCTGACCATTCTACTTTGCAAAAACCACACTTCTTCCTCTAAAAGCAAAACAGTACAGAAAGCTTGGTCTCGAGAAAATGGCAGAACTATGAGGCTTCATGCGACAAACATTTTCGCTAGGGCGTCTGACCTCCTAGACTTCGCAAAAACCAGTGCTTCTGCCCCTAAAAGCAGAAAAGCACAGGGAATTTAGTCTCTAAGGAAGGACAGACCCATGAGCTTCTTGCAACAGGACATTTTCACAGAAACTTTCGGCCCCTTCTACTTCGCAAAAACTAGTACTTCTGCCCTGAAAGCAGAAAAGCACAAGGATTTAGTCTCTAGGGAGAGACAGACCCATGAGTTTCATCCGACAGGACATTTTCTAAGACTTTTGACTCCCAAACTTCGCAAAAAACCATAAAACTCAAAAACCACACTTCTGGCCCAAAAAACAAAAAAGCACAAGGAGCTTGGTCTCGAGGGAAGTAAGGATTATGGCCTCAGGCAACAAGATGTTTTCGCCAGAAGTTTCTGGTTGTCGATGTTTCATTATACAGAAACTTGTTTGAAATTCGTGGCCATTCTACTCTGCAAAATCCATGCTTCTACCCCTAAAAGCAAAACAGCACAGATAGCTTGGTTTCGAGGAAAAGAGACTCATAAGCTCAGCCAGCAAGATATTTCCGCTGAAAAGTTCTGGGTGTCAATGTGTATTCTACAGAAACTTGTTTGAAATTCACTTGTGACCATTCCACTCTGCAAAAACCAGACTTCTGCCTCTGAAAACAGAAGAGTGGTCTCGAGGAAAAGACAGACCGGGAGACGGTCAAGAGGCGCGATTTTTCTGGCTGTCACCAACTTAAAACTTCAGTTTCTCGCTATGGGAGTGTTCAAAAAGTGTCGGACAAAGTCCATCGGCTTACTAGCTGTTTGAAGTAACCATTTGATAAGTTTGACGACTTTTGCTAGAAAACTGACCGAAATAGTTAGAAAATTGCTATAAACTGCATTTTCATGGGTTTTTGACCTTCAACAATTTTGTTTTGAATCGCTTTCAAAATGATAAGATCGAAGAATTCCTGCAATTCTCTAATGTACTTTTTTTGAAATTTGAAATAATCCTGGAACTTCATACACAAGTATGTGCTATATACTGCCCATCTGGTAATAAGAATCGCGCCTCTTGACATACATCCAAACAGACCCATGAGCTTCTTGCGACAGGAAATCATCTTTGCTGAAAATTCTGGCCTTCTGAACTTTGCAAAAACCACACTTTTGTCCCTAGAAGCAAAAAACAGGGAGCTTGGTCTCGAGGGAAGAAAAGACTCAGGGCTCGGGCAGCAAGATGATTGCGCTAAAAGTTTTTAGGTGTCAATATTTGATTATACAGAAACTTGCTGGAAAAATTACCCTTCTTCTCAACCATACTTCTGCTAAAAGCGGAAGCATAAGGAGCTTGGTTTTGAGGGAAGGAAAGAACTAGGGTTTTATACGACAAGACAGTTTCGGTAAGATTGTCCTTCAAAAGAAGGCGCTGGGCCAGCTTCTGTTCAAGAAATGAGCCCGTTCACTGGCAAGACATCATCGAAGAAAATGCTGCTTCGTTTTTACCGACATATTTGAGTTCTTGGCTGCTGGAAGACATAAATTGACGCTTCCTTTAACATGGCACTTTCCTGGAAATCAATCTGAGTTTTGGGATGAATCAGCTGCTCTAAACAGGTGCTTCGAGGTAGCTTCCTTGTTTAAGAGCTGTGGTATCTGGGCAAAGGTATGTGCAAGAAAACAGCAAAGATGCTTTGCGCATAGTCAGTGGTAGTAGCTTCTTTTCCTAAGAGCATAGTGTTTTGTTTCTACTACTCACAACATGCGAAAGGTCGCTGGGAAAATGAAAATTCTCTTTCTTGGGATTTTAGTTAATTAATAATGGCAGATATCAATGTATCTGCCCCCACCCACCTACTAGCGACCCGTAGGGTCGCTAGTCTTATATATAAAGCTGAATGTCTGTTTGTCTGTCTGTATGTCTGTCTGTACGTATGTTCCGAATAGAAAATTCCATTTCTGAACCGATCCGGACCATACTTGGCACACATACACTTCGGGCCCCGGCGGGTGTCATAGGCTACTTTTCGTCATCGATCGATATCGATTTTATCGATTTTTATCGATTTTTTGCAGAGTTCACCTACGGGGCTGGGAGTTGGCACAGGGGGGTAATCGAGCATGTGTATTCCGAATACAATATTAGTTTTCAGGATTATTGATTACTTTTATCGATTTTATCGATTTGTTTGTGAAGTTTGACCTGCGGAGCTGGGAGTTTGCACAGGGGGGTAATCGAGCATGCTGATTACGAATACAATGTTAGTTTTTAAGATCGTAAACTACTTTTATCAATTTTATCGATTTTTTGCAAAGTTTGAGCAACGGGGCTGGGAGTTGGCACAGGCGGGTAAACGAGCATGCTGTTTACTAAAACAGCGGGAATAGTGATTTGGCATGTAGGCGTGGGCACAGGGAAAGGTTCGTACAGGAATAGGGATAGTTTTTTTTTTGACATAGTGTTTTGACAGGGCCGGGCGGAGCGGGTAAGCAAGCTAGTTACTTGATAATCCCGGAGAAGTCATTTATCGAGTTTTGGTAAAATTGTGCGCTTTTATATCCGGTTGATATCCGGTTATCTCAGCGTTGAAAGGATAGAATTCTAGAGGTATGTTTTCTCTAATATAGCGCAGGTCTGCGCTATTCAGCGTTTAGCAATGACATCGTCGCGTTGTTTTGGCCTCGCATAGCCATTGCTCAGTGTTCGTTTTTGTTCGCTCGCTGAGTTAGAAGGGCGTTGAACATTTCTAAACCGCCACCAACCAAATCTCCTCGGCATTAGCAGACTGCGTGTTTGCGAAACTCGTGTTTCTGACTATGGACTTGGCTTTTTGCGCGAGCCTCCATATTCGATAGGCAGTCTCATGCACGATGCTGCCTGGGATATCTTTGCAGTGCACTAGGCTAGAATTTGCGAAATCTTCTTGCAGATATTCTGATATCAGTGTCGTTTTCGAAATCCCATTACACAATGTTATCACAGGTTATCTCTATTCTGACGGCTCATGTATCTCTCGAAGGCACTATTTATGCTCTTTCATCATAGATTTGGGAGTCATTCAGCTGTTTCAATGCAAGCCTCAGGTTTGAGGTTTCTAGATGAGATCCCCAAATGGAAAATTTTCTCAACGCAAGTCTCATTTATTGCATTTTCAAAGTAAACGTCACCTTTGCTTTATGCCTTATTCGCCTTTGAGATCTATAATGAAGCGTCTTGTTGTGTCATAGTTTTTCAGGTTTTCTTGTATCTATGTTATGGTGCTTGAAAAATCTTCCCATTCATAAATACCATACAATTTCCCTACCATACGCTTATTTTTTTCTTCCATAGATAATAGTGACACCGAGTAATTCACAAATCACTTTTTTCAATTCCTTTTCGAGAAGATTCATGTCTGACATGGGCGCTAGATAGTTTCATGCTACCTCTTTTTCGACGACCAAAAGAGAAACCACACATTTATGAATAAAGCAAACACGTTCCATCTTCTTCTCATAAAGCTTACATATCGAAAAAGAGGTAGCATGAAATATGGTCTACGCTTTTACTTGCTTTGATCTCACGTTATATTGTGCTAGGTCTATTACTGGTAATGCCACGAAATGTTTTTTTTGTTTGCCACTCAGAAGATCTGAAGAAAATTTTATGGTTGCGTTCAATTAGTCCATAGCGCGTTGTCTTTCCTTAACATTGCAGTCCTAATCAAATTTTTGACGGTTTCTTTGACTGTCCGATAATTTACACTGATAACACACACTGTTTGCACTTGTTTTGCAATCAATATATCTAGAAATGTCTTACCTTGTCCTTCTTCGAACCATAGGGACACCGTTTTTTCGCGTAACAGATGTCTCTGACGATTTGAATGATGACTTTTACACATAAGTCTGTTCTGTTCTCAAGGTTTTGTACAGCAGATGAGGATGTCTTGGCTCTCATTCCTAGTCGATTTCATTTCCAGCATCTCATCGGCTGTTGTTCCAGGTTATCCTCCCGGTATGCAAGCCGCACAACAGCAGCAGCAGGTGCAGAGCGTTGGGCAAGCGGGTAGTCGCCCGTCAAGTGCCATCCAGCAGCAGCCGCAGCGACCCGTCTACCCGCCGGGAAGCGCACCGCAGCAGCCACAGTATGCCTACCCTGGGGCGCAGACAAACGGATTCCAACAACAGCAAGCTGCACAAGCGGCTGCCTATCAGCAGCAGATGTATCAAAGACAACAACAGGTTGGAATATATGCTTTCATAGATACTGATACGTAATATCGAAGCTGTATGCGCTCAGCATCTTTGCTAGTTTTTTGTGGGTTAAGATGACATATTGGTACCCTTTGATTTAATGTGATTGGCGGCTGGAAGGCAACCGCTCGCACCGGCGACGCAGACTGCGTCTCTCACGCGAACGTGTTCCCTGATGCTTCCCTAGCCCTCGAAGCCCCGCCTTCCAACCGCCAATCTTGTTTAATCAAAGTTAGTTACTTAGTGCGCCACTCAAGGCGTTATGAACTCATATTCCCAGTGGGGAGAGGAGAGGAGCTGAAAGGGATGCGTTATATTTTGCTGCCCTAGAGATCAGTATTGTTCCATGTCTTATATCTTATGAAGGTTCTCATGTCCTAATACCGGGCGTAATGAATGCTAGAACATTCCCACGCAAGCTGAGATTTTTATTGCTTTATGTGATCTCCAGCAGATCTCCAGGGAACTCCAGCTCTTGTTTCTTAAAGTTTCTGCTTTCTCTAAAGCTCGAATGTGGTAAAGTTATCTGGAGTTCTATAATGGAAGCACTAGACATGTTTTCGATGGAACAAATGCAATGTGAACGGCTGCGAATATCTTGATTGACTTTAGCTGAAACTGGGGTTATTCGAAAACTCAGGTTATCGTTATTTCTTCTATTCACATGCTTAGCGCTGCCATAATAGTTCCTCAGTGCAGCTTTACGACGTTTACATCAAGATGGGAAGATAGACGACTTTGAAAACAACGGGTAAATCCCCCGGGGGATTACTGCTTACAAGGTTGCACAAAATGTGAAACCCTCAGCATGTTGACAATTTGTGATCCGTTATGCCTAGGTATCAGGATATAAGAACCTTTATAAGATAGGCAAAGAAGAACAATACAGATATTCAGAGCGGCGAGATATGTAGGCAAAGAAAAACAATACAGATATTTAGAGCGGCGAGATATGACTCGTTCTCCATAGCGGAATGTTTGTTTCGGCAGTGTTTGAAATGTGACTGAATGCCACAAGATCTTTCGAAAAGGAAAGCTTCCGTATTGAAATCTCTTTTCCCCTTTTTTTCCAAATAAATTCCTCTATAACTGATTAGAAAGCGGTTGTTTGGATGGAGGGTCTAGTGAATTTGATCTGGTAAATCTGCAATGCACTAACAAGGGAACCTTGTTTAGTCGAAGTGGACTTTTGAGACGGGATGCATACCACATTAGAGAGCATAAAATGCTGATTCCAAATGTGCCTTCTTTCTGCGAAACGTTTGAGGACAAGTAGTTATGAGAGTTTCTTGAAGTAGAAAAGAAAAGTGCATCTAAGATAAAATGAGTTGCTAAAAGCTCCCTAGCTTTTAAATAAAGCAACCAAGTGTGATATATCTCTTATCTGGAAGTATTTACCAAATAAGGTGCTCTGATAAGCATCACTACTCCATTAGAGCGCTAGAAAAATTTTTACAATAATTTTTCTCTTATTTGCACATGTAATTTTTTTAAATCAATAAAAGCTCATAACTCCTGCCCATAAACGTTCCACAGATAAGGAAGGCAGATTAGAAATCAGCGTTTTATGCTCTTTGATATGGTATACAGAATGTCTCAAAAAATGTGCGCACTGTTTGATTGTAAACAACTCTCTTGTAGTGAAGTCTTTCAAGAAGCTTTAGGTACCATTTTGTAGAGCGAGGTTCCACTTACAATTAGATCTACAGTGTAGCGCGAATCGCCGATCGCTCATTCTTACTGTAGGATTACGGTAGAAACTTTGAAGAGGGTTTTGAGCCATGAAAGGCTGTATTTTGTTCCAAAAAGGACCAGAATAACCTGAAAACTCTCACACTGGGCTAATTAGAGTTGCTGATTCTAAATGTGAAGTTCGCAACTTTTCGTAATGGTTCATCAAAAAATTATGCGAGTAAGCAATAGCGGCCATTTTTTAATTTTCCTAAAAAGTGCGGTTACACCGTTTAAAAAGCTTCGCAATCTGGTGAATGGTTGATGAACTCAGCGTCCATGAAAACCCTATTACACAAGTTTCCACATTTTTTTGAAAATTTTTCAAAACGGCCGCTTTTTTCACAGTGACACCATATATTTGACGTTTCTACCGTAATCCTACAGTAAGAATGAGCGATCGGCGATTCGCGCTACACTGTAAATCTAAGTTGAACCTCGCTCATGGTACCTAAAGCTTCTCGAAAGACTTCATTACAAGAGAGTTATTTACAATCAAACAGTGTGCACATTTTTTTGGGACACCCTGTACATCCCATCTAAAAAGGCCACTTCGATGGTTCCCTTGTAAGAAGCAAACGGAATACTGTATGCACTGGTCAGTGGAGCTTGAAATAAGAAATGCATGCAAGAGACAAAAAAGTTCTTCCTGTTTTACAAGCCTTAAGTATTGTTTGACCATATTGCGATAAAGAAGCATGCAATCGCATAATTTACTCCAAAGGTAGCTATCTTGCGGTCAGAAGATTAGCTCGGTGAATAATCTTCACTATTTCACATTTGGCCTCCAAATTCGCTAATTGCCAGTAGTTCATTACCCGTTGTTTGATTCTAGAATCGCAGTATGAGATGTTTTAACAAAGCACTTTGCCATTTCTCTTTTTTGCTTTCTCGTGCCTTATCGGAGTGTTCGGTTGCGACTATGCAAACCAGACAGCAGTGCAACTTCTTCCGGGGATGATAAGCAAACATCTATCATCGCTCTAAAATTGTTATATGCGCTGAGAAGTAAACTCCTTATCACTCAGAAAAATTACCAGGAATGAAAATGATGTATGTTTGTTTATTTTTGTTGCACTGAGCAAGAGCACAGTCTTGTGAGGGAGAGAGTTCTGTTGTGTAGAAAATCAAATAATTCTTTGCGCATTGTCGCAGAAAGTCATTTTATTAAGCGCATAAAGCTTAAAAATTTTGTATGTCAATGGGTAGGGGAATAATTGTCATGTATACTAATGCATTTTTACTTTTATATCTCGGTCACTATTCATTCTAAGCGTTCTTTCCGCATTTGTAAAACTATTTCATCTTCCTGTTTCTTTTCCAGTCTGGTTTCATAAGATAACAGCGAACTTCTGTCTTTAATGCAACACAAATTGACATCTGTCAACATTTCTTTTCAGATTCCTCAACACATGCGGCCATATATGTCTCCACAAGGCACAGTAATGACCCCTACCCAGCAAGCAGGTCAGTCAAAATAATTTTTCTCGTAACACTGGCATCAGATAAAGTTTGAGAGAAGAGTTTCGGACCTTGAGTTGGCGATTGAACTCGTTTGTTTGAACAATCACAAAAAGTAGCATGGACCGGAACCAGAGAACAAAAGAAAACCAGCTGTGGCGTCAGCTGTGTGAACACTACATCTCACTTAGAAATAAAGTTGGGTGTAGAGGTATTCACTACGAAATACCTTGCTAACAGTCGCTAAGATTGGAAGCATGTCCGTTACTCTTTCCCTACTGAGATTTTCACATAGTCCTTAGACTTGTCTGTTCTGAGGATATCAATGATGACATCACTGTTTTTCTAAATGATAACATCTGGAAGCTCTATTTTAGACTTGGTTATATTGAGTAAAGTTGGGCTTCTGAACTATTTGCTTTCTGCTAAAATCCTACAAACGCTTCACAATATTTCGACAAGTGTCTCTTGTCAGCATGATGCTTGCTCTTTAATCTCTGTCTCCCCAGTAAAGCTGTATAATCCAAATCGTGTGTAGATATTGCTATAGGTACGGTTACTAGGGCGATCCATCATGCTGAGAAGTTCTCGTGTATTCTAATTCTAGCACTAAACTCCTCCTACCTCAACTCATCTCAGAGACTCTAAAAGACCTTTTGCTTTTTCTTGCGGGCTGTTTTACTCTATGGAGCATCAGGGTAAGTTCAAGTTTTCGATGTATGCAATGGTGAAAAGTGCTTGCAAGTTAGAAGAATCGTTTACAAGTCATGAAGCACTGAGGCGTTACCCGTTGGTGGTACTTTGGTCCACTTTTGTTTTAACTTGCGGATTCTTTGATGCAGTGTTTAATATGTGGTTTGGAGACCGAGCCATTGCAGCGGCCATTTGCAAGCCTGGCCGAAATATCTGTCCTTACTCTAGCCCGTCGAACTGAAAGTAATCGAGGACGTTTTCGTGAAGGGTACGGTCTGGCTTGGAGATTTAAGTCACCTGGTTACGAAGACATATGAAATGACATGGGAAATAACTTAGCTCAGGCCTCTAGTCAGCATTCCTTAGCTGATTCCCAGTCAGCATGAAGGAGCTGAATTCATCTTTGCTCGGATACTACTGTTGTACTTTGAGACAGAAGAAGAATTCTAGAATTATTATCTGCAATGGGTAGTCTAATATTTCGCACGATTGATAGTTCGGATTATAGTGGTTTTGATTTGGTCCAGTTAGATCGCACTTTACCGCTGTGAGGGAAGCAATCAAGAAAGATGCAGTCAGCTTGAACGAGCATCTATACCTGTCGAAGCATTTATAAGAGCCTTTTCTTTTCATCCAGGTTGCCATCTTATACCAAATGCCTTGCATCAGTATACATTTCCAATTTCTTAGTCAATAACTCACAAACTAATGACTGAAAAATTGGTGAAACCTCCTCGATGAAACAAGATTACTGCAAAAACCGTGTTTGCTTTGTCACACCAGACGTCCTCATTGTAATGATGAAAACACTGTCGAAAATTACTGTGCGCTACATTGCTGCGATTGTATCGCTCTATTTACTTTTAGGCAGCATTCTTGACGAATTGACTTTTTTTCCCTTTCTGAGACATCATTAAGAGGAATATGCAACACTAGCGAGTCGATTAATGAATGCCAGAAGGAGCGTTGAAGTGCTGATTGCTACAAATGCGCGGATAATCTCCTCTGAATACTTAACTGCTTGCTGCCAGAAAGCCATAAAAGTTGCAAGAAGTGTCTGCATGCTGCAGGTTTCCCATTAGGGGAACGATCCTGCAAATCGTACATTGAAGCTTACCGCTTTTGTTGGTTGAATCTATGGTGTTTCCCAGGCTTAATCGCAGGTCATATGTTCATTAAATCAGATACACGTGGACAGGCAAGGGAATGAACGGGCGCCATCTCATTCTTTCATGTCTGTATCACTAGTATGATTTTATGTTTATCAACATATATTCGAATTGCTGTATTCGAGTGCCTCGTCTTTTTTATCTCTTTCAACAAAGCGGGAAATTTCTTATTTTTCCTTTTTCCTGCTTCTGTGAGCTTTCGTATGAAACTTTAACAGAGTTTTTCAGTGAACCTGACATTGTCATTGATTCATACATTCAGTTCACATTGCTTTGCTGTTCTCCAGTTGGGTTGAGTGTTCTGCGAAGTCACAGACTCGTTCCGCGATTCGCGGTTGCTCTAGAAAACACCGTGTCGCAGAGTGTAGCAAACTGGAGCGTAAACGTTTGACCGCTCTCAACACTTCTTCAAGTGTATTTCCGACTCCCAGTCTCTTAAGTAAACTTCTTAGACTGCTGCGTTCTCAGTCGCTAACTCTTATATCTGCAATCTTCACCTTGCTTCTTTCTTTTAATTCGGAAGGCTAACCAACGTTGCCGTATTATAAAAGAATAACTTTACAGCTGTTTATAGCTGCCTCAAAAACTACTTGCAGTTTCGTCGTTTGACTTTAGCTGCTTCAGAATCATCATTATAACATTTTGTATGCTATATTCCATGAAGTCTTGTGAACTCTTATCTTCAAACAACTTCTTAAATTTCTCCGAAAACCAGTTTCCCCGTTCTCACAAAGTGCATCTCTTGAGAGTACCGTACCAGTCTTCAAGTATATGTCAGTTTACGCATCTCTTTCCAAATCGTAAATGTTATTGAAGTTATTGCCTTGGACTAAGTTGACACTAAGAGAAGTATAAATTTTTAACTTTTGTTTTATCTGTTTGCTTTGAAAGGCTCATATTTCACAAATCTGACGATACAGCTACCAAAAAAATCCGTTTTGCCTACGTCATAGCTACTAAGGTTTCTGCCCAAATGGAGCTTGAATGAGTTGACGTAGGCAAACGTAGTGTACAACATACGATGTTTGACTATTTGTAGCTGTTTCAAGCTTTAATATCATATCTGAGCTCTTTGCGTTTCATTATGCACTATTATGTTTCATTATGCAAGGAACTTTTGGTTCAACATATCAGAGGTAATTTTGATTTTTGACGCTCATTTTTGACGCTTCGGGATCGGTAAGGCGCTATTTCTTGAGCATTCCATCTGAAAAGTATTTGGTCTAGGTACTATTGTTCCGAGACCTCATCAGTAGTAAGACATTGTTCAGTACCAAATTCTGGGTAAAGTAGAATATCTGCTAGCACAAATCGTTATGGCTCGTCTTGTTGATATTTTCTTTTAGCTAGACAGAATTTTTCGAGCGTATACTGTGCAGCGATTTCACACCTTGGATGGTAACTTAAAAGAAACAGCTGGTGGAAATGACTCAGCTCATGATGTGTTCTAGAACCGCATTGTCTGGCCAAGATTGAATTTGTGTTCAAGGTGTAAGAAAGGAGTGTCCGCTTTATGCACAGTTTATCAATTTTTTTTTGAATGTTTACTTGAATCTAGTTGTTATATAAGAAGTGGATATCGAGATTGATTATTTTAGGATCTCTCAAAACTAAGCGTTCAAAGAATGGCGAATAGCGACACAGTCCAACTTATACTTTCTCGTTCATCAAACGGTCTCTGAAAAGGAAAAGATAAACATGCGTCTGGTCTTTTGGAAGGTTGAAAGTGTCGACCCTTTTTTTTGCTTGAATATATGCACAAAAGGAAACATTTATTGGGCAAGTGCATTTCCCATGCTGTGCAGAGTGCCAACGCTCTTTTTTTTTTCTTGCTTTTCGTGGAAGCAGTGCCATGAAACTCATTTGACAACCCGGCCATGACCAACATATATAGTGTTGAAATGCTCCGAACCAGTTCTCTGCATCCTAATTATTGGACTGTGATGAGCGGGTGAACATTTGCATGCCCTTTTGTATGCAATTGGTGTTTCAAATCTCAAATGTTGCCTCGCTTATTTCTGTGGCTAGTTGACTATAATGGCTCCTCATAACTGGGCGTCGAACACGGCTTAGTAGATAATAGCTACACGGCGCATTGCTTCGCTTCTTGGCTCGTATCGCCTTCTTATGTAATCATTGAAATTTGCTCCTATGTATGCGTCCTGCTATTTCATGCTGATTATGGCTTTACGAGAAGGTAACAACGGGAGATGGAGCTCTCACCTTGTCTTCTGATTAGTAGAGGGCTCGGCTTTTTCTATATCTTCAGAGGTCCATTGAGGGAACGGATTTGACATTTTTTATCCTAATGTAATAGTTGGTCTTACCACTAAACACGATGAATGTCGGGGTGGGAGCAACATCGTCACGCCTCACAGTTTGATAGCTAATTTTGAATCGTACAGAGACTCCTGTTGGCCTTCGTTTTTTACACTTATTTTACTCTACCCTTCCACCTCCAGGTGAATGCACTTTTGACAGGCGATCATGTTCAGCTTTTTGAATCGTACTCTTATATGCGCTTCACTTCAGCTAATACTTCCCTCGTTATTAAGCGTCTGATTTTTTCAAATCGGAAACCTGCGTAGTCCATTTATATGGAGGTATCAAATTATCGGGTGTTTGAAACCTCATTCACTCGATACTACGCATGTTTACCTGACAGCTTATTCCTATGATGTATGGATTTGCCGTTCGCTCTCTAGTCTATTTCATTTTCTCACTGGTGAAATAACTATTCATTTAGCGCTCACTTATTTGTTTTCTGTCTTGACTATGCTGAGGATTGTGTTAGTGCGCTATTTATGACTTGTGATCGACAAAATGTGCTTATGGTCAAAAGAGTATCCCTGTAAAATGTATCTCATCTGCTGTTTATCATTTTCCCTTTGAAACTTAGGATTGTTCGTTAGTAAGACTTGACTATCCATCCATCACCCTGACGTCGCTGTATACATTCACGGTGAAAATCATTCTATACTCCCTAGCAAATGCTTACTCTCATTTTTTCTAAGTATCAGAATTTTCTCGGTGTTAGCGTTTTTCATGCTACCATAGCCTACGCAGTTGTGCAAATACAAACTGTTATTGACTGCTTTTATTAACGTAGTATGATTGGTTTGTGTTTTTGTTCAGAAAACAGCA